ATGAGATCATGCATTGATCTTATCCACTCTCAGGATCCCTCTTACCACACAGCAGGTGCAAAACATTTCTTTATGGTGTGAACTCTATAAAATCTCATGCATAGCAGGGAAAGAAAAATGAAAAGTAACTTTGTTTTTACTAAAACATGATTCAGGAGAGATGATGCCGGGGTGAAGACAAGGAAGAGAAAATGAACAAGCTGATCCATGAGATTTTACAAGTCTGTGATACTTAGCTAAAAATGGTATCTTGAGGGCTTTGCTTAAGAGCTTTGCACCTTGGGATGTTGTCTACTGATGCTCTTCCTGTTCCCTTCCCTTTATCCTCATTCTGCTGGCAGGGTTAGTTTAGAGATTATTTAAAATTAGATTAAATAATTAACTCTGAGGACTATTCAGTACACAACTTAGTCTGAAACAGCCACTTCAGCTGCTCCAGTTTGCTGTGCCCACTTGAGCTGACTCGAGTGACAGCTGTGACCAGCTCACCTGAGTCAAGTCCCTGTGCAGTCAGTGCCTTTCACAGTTCTCTCTCACTCAGACCTCTCTTTCTTTCATGAGTCAAGCATCCAAAAACCTTTCTGTCTAACCTCGTTCTCACCTCTGCACTGATCTGGATTCTGCAGATCAATCAGTTTTTCTTCATCAACACTTTTCCTTCACCACCTGGCACAGGGAGGGTTCATCCATTTTGGCTCATCCCACCTCCTATGGCAAACCCTCTGCTGACCCTTCCTGCCTGTCTGGGAGCTCAGCTCCATCTCTGTCACGTTCCAGCTAGACTCAGTCACTTCTGAAACAAAAAGGCACTTCAGAGAAGCCGAGAACAGGCCAAGAAAAATCCTTATGCCTTAAAAAAACATACATGGGACTGAAACCTCCATTATAACATTATCATAGAATGGTTTGAGTTGGGAGGAACCTTAAAGGCCACAAGGCAGGGACACCTTCCACTATCCCAGGTTGGTCCAAGTCTTGTCCATCCTGGCCTTGGACACTCTCAGGGTTGGGGCAGCCACAGCTTCTCTGGGCAACCTGTGCCAGGGCCTCAGCACTTTCACAGGGAAAAACTTTTTCCTAATTTTATATATATAATATATCATTTCCACGATATTATGTATATTATATGTTATAAAGCATACATTGTTATGTTAAGTTATGCTTTATTTGCTGTCATATATGATTATATATGTTATATATATGTGCATGTGTGTGTATGTACATATATATATGTATACACACTAGTAAAAACGACACCAATTATATATACTGGTATAGGGTATATATAGTATATAGTGTATATATCAACTGGTATATGGTATATAGTATATACATATAGTGTGTATATATATATATATACTATATTTCTATACTATATATGCTATATATATATACTATTATATACTGGTGTGTGTATATGTGTAAAAACTACATTAATTACTCTTTATTACCAAAAGACTCGCAACTACCAACTGGTAGAAGAATTGTTACAAATATTGAAGACAGACGGTAAATAAACGCATTCTTGCAGGCTGGAGGGAGTGCAACACCTCCCCCTAGCGATGGCCGCGCAGAGCAGGAGCCCGGCTGGCGCAGGTCCTCAGAGCTGTTCAGCCTTTAAAGGCACTCAATACACCACGGGGATGTTTCCAGCCCATTCCTAGCG